GCTGTCTCCTCTTTGTCATTCAGTTCCTTATCTTTGTTGTTTCTGATTCTTCTGGGGAAGGATGGAGAGAAAAGAAAAACAGGAAAAAAAATTCTTATTTGACTAGGACTGTTCTGAACTGACTTCTTGGTTTCTGGACCTGGCCCATCTCTAAAGCTAACTCTTTTGAGGGTGCTCGTGTGTGTTCTTACTAGGGCTTCTCACCTGTGCTTACCTTGATATATTCTCTTCTTGCAGATAGCACACACCTTCCTCATGCCCTGAAAGTCTTAGGTTACACTTAGCTTCTTTTCACTGAGGCACTCTACCCCAACCAGATGACCCTGTCAGATAGTACCTAAGTCAATTCCACATCTGCTTTCTGTTGTGCATGTCCCTCAGCTGTTCTTGGGGATCCTGGCATAGCCTCTGCCCCTATAGATTCTGGGACTACAGGCTGATTCCAAAGCAACCCCTCTTTTTCAGCTCATCTCTTAGCATCATTGCTCATTGTTTTTAACTTTCTGGACAGCATGTGAGACACCAGTTTCCTATGCTTTCCTGACTGAAGGTGATAATAATGAGCCCTTTAAAATGCCTCTTTGAAGTCTCTTTCATAGGATTGAGGTATGGATGAAGAGACCTTCTCCATTGATGGACATTGGTCTTACAACCCAGCTATTCCAAAAAAAAAAAAAAAACATCTTCAAAATTTCCTTCTCTCAAAAACCTATTTTGATATTTTTCTCTAAAAGTTTCCATCTTGGCCTGGCACCTCACATTGATATCTTTTTAGGGATTCAACTAAAACTTCCATATTAAACCCTCTTCTAGAAACATATAGCAGGGGACTAACATAGCAAGACCAGGAAGAATTTTCCCGAGGAAATGGAGAGAGAGATTTCCTGGAATTCAAGAAAAAAACATTTCAATACTGAAATGTTGCTTCATGGTGTCAAAGGCTCCCAGGAAGGCAAGTAAGAGAAGAACTGAGAAGAACCCATTTTCTTTGGTAGCAGAAAGGTGGTTGGTGATCTTGGCAAGAATACTTCCTATGGAGAAGTGGAGGCAGAAATTGAATTCTGTGAGATTGATGAAAGAGGCGGAAGTAAGGAAATGGAACCACAGAGTTTGAAACTTCAGAAAGTTTGATGTGAGGGAGAGGAAAAAGTTGGGAATTCTCTTTCAGTGTGAGAGGCAGAAGACATTTAAGTGCCTCAGGAAGATACTGGTAAGTGAAAAGTCGTAAAGGATACCAGAGAGAGAAGTGATCCTCCAGAAAATAGATAGGTGGGTGCAAGAAGGCTGGAGGGGTTGAAATCTAGAGTGGGGGTAATAATTAGCCTTGGGCAGGAGAAATGCTCCTTCCTAGGGTACCAGGAAGAAAGAATTAGTGTGGATTTAGGGCAAACTTGGAGATTTGATGTTTGAAAGCTGAGGAATTCATGGCCTAATAGCAAAGTCCTGGAACAGAGGACATATTTTTTTGTGATGGTGGTGGTGGTGGAGGTAGAGGATTGAAAAAGTAAAGTGAAACTGAATAACAGAAGGCCTTAAATATTCTTCTATATGTGACATAAGATAGACATGAATCAGGGGGAAATTATAAAACATGTAAACATGGGGGCATATTGACTAATAATTTAAATTAGTGCTTACTCTGCACAAGAACCTCTACTAAGCGCTTCACAAGCATATATCCAATATCACATCTCCACTTAACCTGGACTACAGCTGATTTCCAGTCCACTTTTGCTACCACAAATAATTCTTTATACAAGAGCCAAGACAGGTTGTTTAAAAATCAATCTGTGTCAGTGCCATACTCCACTTTCACCCTCACATGGCTTCCAAGTGCCTGGAGATAAGTCCTACATGTTCTGGACCCTGCCTAGCTCTTCAAACTCACCTTTTTCTTTGTTGTATGTTATATTATTTTGGAGTTATTGTAAATAGATCTGTTTTTATTTCATTTAAGTTTTCTAACAATTTTATGCAGGAATATGAAAAAGCTATTGATTTTTATTTCACACAATTTACAGTATTTCAAAATGTTAGGTTAAAACTTTTTGCAACACACAGATAGAAAGAAGACACAAAAACAAACCAACTCCCCACCTACCTCCACCCCAAACCCTGAATTCCTTAGTCATAGAGCTTGACATCTTATTTTGGTTTCAGTAAGAAAAAGAAAGCTCCATAAAGTATTATATTCTCACTGTTACATAGGAATAGGAGAAACCAATGCGTGGCAATGAAAATTATGGAAAAATACCAACATCTAGTTTCCCACTCCCCTTACTCAAACCTCTCTCTAGCTCCATTTTTTTTTTTTTAATTAAAAAAAAAAGTATTTTTATTGATTTTTTAGAAAGGAAGGGAGAGGGAGATAGAAACATAGATTGGCTGCCTCCTGCACAACCCCTACTGTGGATCGAGTCCATAGACTGGGCATGTGTCCTGACTGGGAATCGAATCCAGCTAGTGACCTCTTGATGCCTGGGAAGACACTCAGCCACCTGAGCCACACCGGCCAGGTGCTTCATTTCATTTTTATACAGCTCTCAGCCTGAGTGAGTATGTATTGGGCATAATATCAAGATAAATTTTCTGTTATTTGTCATAGTGGTGCTTTTTGTACCACAACTTTTAGCTTATACCATATTTAAATGAACTTGTAAATTTACTAAGCCATTAACATTTTCTGTGGGGATAAAACATGGTTTGTGAGGTTTTAGCATGAAAACTTTTTTTCCTTCCTTTTGTTTCTTTTCAAAAAAAATTTTAAAACTAACTTAAAAGAACTTGTCTGGACATCCTTAAGTCTTAAGATGACCAAAAATAAATAAAGAAGATTATAAAGATATTGGTTTGATTTCAGTGGCTTTTGTATTCTAGCAATTAAAAAAAATGAAAGCAAAACTGATAACACTTCCTACTTAAATGTTTTCAGAGAAGAGCATTAAAATGGTCATTTAATATTTCAGTGTGATCTGTACAAACTAACACTAGCTGTTTTGAAAGTTTTGCAATGGATCAATAAATTTCCAATTTATGTATTTTAAAAGGAATGTTAGGAAATATCAGAGTATTTAAATAATAAAAGTATCTCAAATTAATGTGTTTGAAACACTCTATGTATTTATGAGCTGCTATTTATTTTTATAAAAGTTTTTAAGAACTTCTCTCACTAGAAGTCCCTTAAAATGCAATACTTATGTAGTAATTGGCAAGGAAATACACACCACTTACAAACGTCAGAAAATAAATCTTAATTCAACATAGTTAATAGCTTTCTCCCACTTTTACTATATATACATAGATTGATTTTGGCTTTGTTATGGAGCATTTGCATCCAAGTATATAATTTGTTCTAACCAGTTAATTCCTACTCTGTCTTAATAGCTTTCATGACCTCTACTCAGATGTACTTGCCTTACTGAATTTTTCTAAAATCCTCACTTGAGGATATGTCGTTATTGATTTCAGAGAGAGAGGAAGCGAGAGAGAGCGAAGCATCAGTGTGAGAGGAGCATCAGTTTGCTGCCTTTCATACGTGCCCTGACCAGGGATAAACCCGCAGCCTGGGTGTGCTTCTTGACCTGGGACTGAACCCACCGCCTTTTGGTGTACAAGATGACGCTCAACCAACCGAGCCACCCGGCCAGGGCTTGCCTTAGGCATTTTATATTTGCTTTAGGGAAATATAAATGAATAGGAAGAACCAGAAAAAATGATATAACCAAACATTAGCAGAGCAAATCTGATACATGATCTGGAAGAGCTACGAACTGAACAAATCCTTTCATCTTTAGCAAGCTACTTGATAATTTACCCAGAATGTCAGAAGAGACAACCGTCTTTATGCTCTTATCATACTCTCTAGGTAGCATTCCATACTATATTTCATTTATTTTATTATTTTTTAAATTAAATTTATTGGGGTGACAATGGTTAATATGAATATATAGGTTTCAGGTGTGGGTTTCTGTGTTACGAGATCTGTATATACCCTTGTGTGCCCACCACCCAAAGCATTCCATACTTTATAACAGTGGTCCTAAAGTGTGGTCTGGGACCAGCAGCAGCAGCAATCACCTGGGAACTTGTTAGAAATGCAAATTCTTGGGCACCACCCCAGACTTGCTGAATGAAAACCGCAGAGTGTAGGATCCAGTAAACTCTATTTTAACAGGGCCTCCAGGCAATTATGAGAACCACTGTTCAATAAGCTGCACATGGTTCTGGCACAGTTACTAATATAAAATAATATTGAAAGTAAACTAATTAAAAAATATAAAAATAAAAAGATACAGACCTTTGTTTGAAGAACCAAATTGAAATAACTTTAGATCTCTAGACTTTTCTAGGGATTCTGTAAAATTTTATGAGTATAATAATAAAAATTCTGGCTAAATAGTATCTTTTGTTTTATATTACAAATCAGTAATTTATTATTAATATAGCTAAGTGAAATAAGTCACACAGAAAAAGTAAAAACCAATATGATTTAACTCATATGGGATATAAAACTGAAAGCAACAAATGGACAAACAAAACACAAGCAAAAACTTATAGACACAGAGAGCAGCATGGTGGTTACCAGCGGGACGGGGGTAGGCGATAGGAAAGGGGAAAGGGAGTCGAATATATGGTGATGGAAGAAGATATGACTTTGGGTGGCAGCACTCAATGCAATATACAGATGATGTATCATAGAATTGTACTCTGGAAACCTATATAATTTTATTAACCAATGTCACCCCAATAAACTTAATTAAAAAAAAAAAAATATATATATATATATAATTAAACTAAATGAGTGACATAACCCACAAAGGGAAAGTGGGCTATTTTAATGAAAACAGTGGGACAAGAGGAGAAGACTACCTCTGAATTGCGGTGATTATTATGATTAAATAGTTATCATAACGATGTGCCTCCTTTGTGTTTGTGAAAAACTCTAACATATACCCTTACAATTTTTGTAGACCATTATTTATACTAATAATTACTTGATGTTTCATCATAATTTACTCCAGTTTTTAAAATATAAACCGAGAGCTCCCTAGAGGATGGGATGCATCTGTAATATTTCTAAACTCCATAAGTTCCAGTGAAAGGAAACCTCAAGTACTATATATAGTTTGCTGCTGTTTCTTCCAGACGTACTTTTGTGCATTATCACTGTTTATTCCGAAAAATCTTTATAGCATAGATGTGGTTTTACCTTGAGAATGATGTGAACCTAATAGAATTCTGAATAGTTCCTGTAAAAGATCTAGATGCTATCTGGGCTGGGTTGGTAAAACTGAGACTTCTCATTCATCGATACTATAAGTTAGTTCTAGATGCTAACCTGAGATGATTGCCAAAATATGTTATTCAATGAAAAAACTAAACTGTGAGATCATATATATAGTCTGATTCTGTTGATATGCAAATTAAAACACAAGAGTTTAAAGTTATATCCTAGTGTGGTACAGAAACCCATGTAGTCTCATTACCTACATGAGTGGAAGCCTCTTTTTCTATCTTTCCAAGATAGAAAGTCAGACAAGATCAGGTGTGGTCAGGATGATATGGCCATAGGATATCTCTTTATTCTTGATAAAGATATTTGGTGACTTTTAATTTGGTGCATTAATTGTTCTCTTATGGGAAGGTTGTCTTTCTTTCATAGAGCTTGCACTTGCACTCCCAGATGTCTGTTTATTTTTTTCCTGTGTTCATATTTCTTGCTGGTGATGTGTACCTGAAGGGAGAGAAGACAGCTCAGATGGTAGCTGACACTCTTCTGGGTGAAATGAAGTATGTGTTAAGGGGGTGGCCACAAAGAGAGAAGGGACTCTGTTATTGCATTTTGTAATCCGCCCCCCATCAATCTGCACCAAGCACTGCTTTTTGCTGAGGGCTGCTTCTCCCTCTTGTAGTTACTCAATAGGAGCTTGGTGATGGGTAGCTACTTAGTACTTTTGCATTAGGCAGTTATTCTCTTCTTTCTACCCACCCAGAGGTCAGTGATGCCCAGATGAACTGCCACTTGTGGCAGGCACTGGACTGGAGCTTATGTTTTCTGTCCACTCCTTTTGAACCCAGTATGACAGAGCAGGTCCTGAGCTAGCCAGTAAAATGTGAAAAGAGAAAAGTACGGAACTAGAAAGCTTGCCTCCTGGTTCTGTGGGACTTGACCTACCTTCTGATTCTCCAAGGGCTTTTTACAGTGTTTGATTTAGTTTCTGGAGTCCATTGAATTCCTTTTTAACCTTGTGGCATCTCCAGATTTGGGTTCAGGGGAAGAATTGAACAGTCCATGTTTGTTCACACTTTGATCCTGACCACTGTACCAAACTTCAGCTTAAAATCTCTTCCCTTACATCTGACTTTATCTTTCTTATACTTTAGTCCCCAGCTATATAATTTCCTCACAGAAGCCTAATTCACAGATTAATATCTTTTTTCTAATACTTTTCTCTATGACCTGACAATTGAAATTCGATAAGAAGTTTTTCAATAACTGGTCATCTCTTTAGATGTTAAGGTCCATGAGAGCAAGGGATGTGTCTGTTTTTCTTGGTACAGCTTTATCTATGAGATCTATCCTAGTGCTTAGACATTAGGTGAGACTTCATGAAATCTTTTTCAAAGAAAAAGTAAGGGAAGAAGGAACAAAGAAAAGAGAAATAGATCTATTTTTGTTAAAGTGAAACATAATGTATATTTACTCAAGAGTAATCTACCTCTCAATTAGTCACATCTGTAATATATAAAAAGCATGGAACCACAGACTAGCTTTATCCTGGATGCTAAATAATGTTTGGTCTTCTCATTTTATTAATATCTTGATATAGATAAAAAATAGATGACTTTCCTGGAAAAGAAACATAAGTTACAGCATCAAATGAAAGTGAATTTTGTATTATCTATTGGGAATGAATAAGAAAGTGTTAACTGTGTATACTATGACTAAGAGACTTTAGAATTCCCAGGATATAAATAATTCCCTACTTAAAAGTCTGAAAATTTAAGTGAAATATTTAGCAAAAATTAAACTTTCTTTACTTAAAAAAAAAAACACCAGTGAAGATTAAATAAGAGTAGAGCAATAAAGAAGAAAAAAAGGAAATGATAGGCACAAGTTCAAGATCTTACTTCTAAACACTTCAACAATTAATTTCTCCTCTCTATATTTTCTAATATACAAGTGAATTACTCAGACCATTGTCTACATGTTTCCTAAACCAGATAGTACATTTCCAGGCACATTACTCAAGTTCTCAGATGCTATATCAAGAGATAAAATGAACTTATAACCTCAGATTATTATTTTTTTCTCTGGGGTACCAAGCTATGGTAGAAACACTTGGTGCTTGCATGTTATCTTCTTATTTAATTCAATTCTTCTTTTCTAGTATAATACTTTAATCTCAGAGACACATGTATGGATACATGAATGGACAAGACTCCTCTCTGCCATCTCTCCCTCCCATATCAATCAAGTTCTCCAGGGTTGTCATCTTCATCTGTAATCTACAACGAGAGGGTAAAGTTTATTACTTTACAATGAAGCAAACAAGAAACTATTCATCTACAAAACTTCTGCTTTCCTCAGTATTCGTCTCTTTTACAATACAGTTTCTTCTTAGTGCCAATTTGTTTTGTTCTTTTTGCTTAGTTTTGAGCCAACTTTCACTCTTCCATGTATGTAAAAGGCACACTGTGGAAGTTATCAACTACCAATTAAGGTTGTTCCAAGTGCTAGGAAGGAAAACAAAACAAAGCTCTCAGCAGGCAAGGCTTATACTGATAACTGGAAAACACCAAATTAAGACTAATTCACGTAACTTCAGAGCATGACTCAGAGCTGCAGATCATTGAGTTAGGGCTGGCAATACACACGGAAGAGCTCAGTATATGCAAACACAGGCTGAAAAATGCACAAACGTCATGGATGGATCAGTGTATTGCAAAGATGGGTATTATGACTGAGATTGTCATAACAATAAAGGTTAATAACATCTGTGAAGAAATGAGTGTTTCAAGTGACTCAGAGCAGAGCGCATTGTAAAAGTAGAGGCTCTGTTTATATTGAGCATGTCACTGTGACTATGAAATTCCAGAATGAGGAGTTTTGGTACTACTTTGTGGAACAAATAAGCCATAGCCACTTGAAGACATGTCATGAAGAAAAGTAAAAGCAGGAAGCCCCATGCCAAGTCATCTGTGCTCATGGGCTCATTCTCACTAACTCCCTGGCATTTGATTGGCCTAAGTCTATGGTTATCAGACTCACTCCTTGTCCACACTTTGTGTGTCTGTCCAGCCTTTTGGCATACAACTCTATTTTCCAACTCCTTTCTTTGTCATGCTATAGATCAAACTTCTTTTCTTCTACCCTTAGATTCGTTTTCTACCAACACTGCTAAGGATTTGCTAGAAATCTAACTTACTCTGCAGTTTTCTCTCCAGCTTGGTTTGTTGATTGCCTACCACTTCCTCCACCCCACACACAAATGTGCTTCACTCTCCTTTCTTACAATATGATGCATGTTAACCTCTCAGCCATTGTTAGTGGTGGATATTGTTATAGATCTTACAGACAGAGACTACTGGGAAGAGGAAACAGACTGAAGGATATTCATTTCTAGGTGAGGGGAAATAATATATGGATTCAGAGATCTGAAAATAGTTGAATATGGTAATTAGACATAAAGATAAACAATGTGTTTTTAAAAGGAGGGTGACAGACGAGTGAGTATGCATGGTAGTACAAGTGAGGTGATACGATTGCCACACAGAAGTTGGCACTAAGAAATGAGAGGGAAATTTATGCTAAGGAAAGTTATAGGAACACTGGTCTGAATTCTTGATAGGAAAACACAGAATATGAGAAATAAATGGTCACTTCTAGTCCATGTTCCTTCCTTTACTGAATTAATTATATCTGTGAACAGGGCAGATCCCCAGCACTATAGGCTCGGGGTGAAGAGAGCAGATTCTGAATTTAAGCAAAATTGGTTTCAGGTCCCACCCAGCTTTACTGGTTACTATTATGTGAACTTGGGCAAGTACAAACCCTCTTCAGGCCTCTGTAAAACAGACTTAATAATTGTATCTACTTCTTTGAAATAGTTGCCCATGCTCACCGTATTTACCTCCTAAACTCTCTTCCATCAAGATTTTGTCCCTGTGATGTCGTCCACTCTTGCTCTGGTCACCAATAACATTCATGCCACTAAATGCACGTGTGGTCAATTCTCAGGATTCATATTATTTAGTATGTCAGTTGCATTTGGAACGTGTACCAATCTTGGTGACTTTGCCCTGGTTGTTCATTCCACTAAGAATACTCTTCTTCAGAGAGTCTCATGGCCAACTTCCTTTACAGTTAAACCTTTGAGGTTGTTGTATTACCAACTCAATGTGGCTTACCCTGACCCAAAATAAGACATTAACAAATTACAAAAACATATTGTGTACTTATATAACAAAACTCACACTATCAAATACTAAGGTATAATTCATAAATTTAGTATTATTCAAATAAAAACTCAAAGTTTTAATTTTTTAATATATAAAAATATCTAAAATAATTTAAAAGCCAACAACATGCTGATAGAAGCATATTCGAAGGAGAGGAAAACATGGTTTACAGAAAAAAACATACAAAAAAGCTACCTATGTGTGTGTGTAAAGACAACTCATTTATTATAAGTGAAATGAAAACTAAAATGACACTGAGATCTTGTTTTACTTACCAAATTCCAAATATAAAATATTTTATGATATACTCTTGAGCATAAGTGTGAGGTTAAGGAAACATGAGCTTTTGTGCTTTTTTATACATTACTACTGAGAATATAAGCAGGCAGGGCTTCTACTTGGCAAGATCTATAAAAATTATAAAAGAGCATTTTCTTTGACTCAACAGTTCCATTTGTGGGCCTTTATTCTAAAACTACACTGTGTAAATGATTTAAATACAAATATATTCATTGAAGTATTTTCTATAATTATAAAAAATTGAAACAAACTAAGTGACTATTACTAGGGTACTGGTTAAATAAATGATTGTACATGATACAAGGCACTATCGTGCAGTTGTGAAAGAAGGTGGGCAATCTATATACTGATAGGATTACTAAGATATATAATTAAGTGTAAAATGCAGGGCTTGGAACACTATGAACAATATTCACCCCATTTTCATTAAAGTATGCATATATATTTTACGTTTATTTCATATAATATATATAATAAATACATTTCATATTTATTCCTAGAATACCCCAGAAAAGATTAACAGGAAACTGGGAGCCTTAGTGCTGTAAGGGTTGGAAATGAATTATAAAGGTCAGGATGGGATAAGACTTTTCACTTTTGTCTTTATGTTTTGAATTTTGACAATATTAACTACAAAAAATAAAAGTATAGAAAGAGTTGTCTACTAACACAATTTATAATATACTCATTCTAATCTTTATTTTAAAGAAGAAGATAAGGTTCAGAATGGTGGTGACAGAAGGTTACCCAGCTTTCTGCAGACAGGACCAGAGCTAGCTCTCAGATTTTCTACCTCCCAGTTCAGGGCAAAGTCTACAGCACCAGAGGAAAGCAAACTTATATAACTGTATATAACTGGAAATCAATTAAAGTAACAAAGCCAAAATTGATTGTACATTTTAATTTCATATTATGCTTTTGGTCTGATACAAAATATTCTGAAAATGTTGCCATCTGTCATTCATGAAGATGTCAATTATTTCTCCAATTTTCTTGAGTAGTTTTCTTCAACAGTGGTGACAGTAATTAAGCCTTCTTTACCTCTCAGAGGTTTTCCTCTGCAATCAAGGTCTTATATTTGTGAGGTAACTGCCTAAGGTTAGAAAATATTATCTGTATCTGTGGAACAAAGATTATATCTGTGCCATGCTGACACCATTTCCTTTATGGCATCAATCTTCAAACACATTAGTTCTCCTTGCCTTTCCTGAATTATTTCCTCTGTGATTGTGCCTTAACTCTTAGAACTATAATTTATGCAATGTACAAACATTTTAATGAAGCTCCAACCATGTTCCTAGAAACTTAGGATAAAAGGGTGAATAATGAAAAGCATCTGCTTTCAAGAAACTCATTTAATCGGGGATATAGATTTATCCATTTAAAAATAATTTATTGAGGGCTTACTATGTATCAGCACTGTTCAGGTTGCTGGGGATACAACAGTGAAGAAAACACAGAAATCTTAACTACTGACATTTAGGGAATTTGAAAATGGATTGGTTATTAGCTGAGATGAGGGGATTATTATTAATTTTCTAGGTGTGATAATTATTGTGGTTACATAAAGACCTATTTTTAAAATATACATATTGACATATTTAGAGGAGAAATGTCAAGATGTATTTAACTTATTATGAAATGATTCAGGGGAAAAAATTATCTCCTAGAGTATAATAGCTTCCTTAACAGTAGAAACACATTCAAACTGGCCCTTTTAATATTTTTTATGTGTTCTCCTTTGTGACTAAGCAGAGTAGGTGTGAGATTATTGCTAATAATTAGAAGGTATTATCCGTGTCTGTTTTATAAAATTTTAAAGTACATACCTATATCTATTTCTAGGTGGATAAAGCAAATAGTAGAAGCATGTTAACAATCGTTGACTCTAGGTGGTATGTATAAGAGGGCTCACTGTATAAATCTTTAAACTTTTTTGTATGTTTGACATTTTCTACTTAATAAAGAGCTAGAAAAGTTTCTGCCCACTGGAGCATACATTCTAGTGGGGGCAGGGAGAGACATGCCTAAAGAAATAAATAAATAAAATACATAATATGTCAGATGATGATAAATGCTCTTGGGAATCAAGCAAAAGGGGTATGAGAGTGATAGTTTTAACACAAATAATTTATAAATCTATTCATTTGATATTTACTTGGATAGAGTTCTAACACTAAAAAATATTTAAATAACATTTAAAGTGTCATAGGCACAATGACTAAAAGTGGGTTCTTCTCTGTGGGTGTGCAGGAAAGAGCTTGAAGAAATTACTGGAGCAGTTCTTGAAGGGTAAATGGAAATTTGCTAAAAGGACGAGTAGTTTGGGGGCCCTGAGAGAGTATCCCAGGACAGATTAACAAGGAGAATGAATGACTCCCTGGCTCCACTAAAAAGATTGTGGCCCAGGGGTTCTGCAATTTGCAATTTTATGAAACTCCACAGATAATTCTAATATCCTCCAAAAGTTGAGATTCTGTAGCATGGAAACAGGTAAAACTCATGAAAAAAGAGAAAATGGGAAAGTGATTGGAAATATAGGTTGTTGCTAGGCAAGAATGAAACTTTATAACAAGATAAAGATTTTAAAATTTATTCTATAGTCATGAGAGCTTCAGAAGGCTTTTTTTTTTTTTTAATATATCTTTACTGATTTCAGAGAGAGGAAGGGAGAGGGAGAGAGAGAGATAGAACCATCAATAATGAGAGAGTCATTGATCGGCTGCCTCCTGCATGCCCCCCACTGGGGATTGAGCCCACAACTTGGGCATGTGTCCTGACAGGGAATCAGACCTCGATCTCTTGGATCATAGGTCAATGCTCAACCACTGAGCCACGCCCACTGGGCTGCAAAAGGCTTTTAACCATGGGAATTACATGAGTAATCATATCTGAATTTTAGAAAAATAACTTAGATGATATGTTTAGGTAAGTAGGAGAGGGGAGCTACTAGAGTCAGGGAAACCAGGTATGCTACTCCATTAATTTAAACGAAAGTTGATGAAGTCTGTTCTAGATCCCTGGAACTTGGAATAGAGAGATATTTGGACGGAGACTAGAGGGATCTTAATGATGTGATGCAAGTAAGAAGGATTTCAAATATCCTGATTTAGTAAGCTACTAACAGACTTAGGAAAGGAGAAGTAAAAATTTGGAAGGGATAGAGAATATATTTTAGCTTGCTGTTCTTGAAGAGTTTGTGGGACACATGCATGGATCTATCCAAAAGCTAAAAAAAAGCATAAGCTTGAACAAGAGACAGGGGCAAAAAATAGAGATTTTTTTTTTTTTTTTGATGTGTGGTATGTTGGAGGCCTGGGTTTTGGACTTTGTGGGAGAGGATATCAATACTCATGGAAAACGCTGAGCAAAAGAGAAGAAAATGTGAGCAGCATTTAAGAAATGGTTAGAGCAGAAAGAGCAATGAAAGTCAGTCATATTTTTATTCTAAAGAGTTTAGAAATTCCTCTAAAACATAACTGTCATTAGCTTTGTACACAGTTTCCAAGGCATTAGTGCAGTGCATACAACCGGTATTTAATAATTGCTTGCTACGTTGATGACCTAATGACATGCATAGGAATCAAATTAGATGAAGGACTTAGAGCCTAGGATCAAATACCAATATTATTATTAATGAATCAAAGAGAACAAGGAATATTAAAAATGAACCTTCTTGAGTCATTCTTTTTAAAATTTTAATCTAAAAACTAGTTAATTTTAAAAAAGCTTCAGACATAAACTACTCATAGACATTTTCCAACTGGCTTAAGGATTATACGTTAATATTTCTATAGAAATTTTACTTTTTTTTTGTCTAACACTTTGGGCTTTTTTTTCTCTCACACTAGAATATTAGTTCTAATAATTTTTAAACATTTATAAAACACTTGGCTCCTGTAAATAATATCATTTCTATATGGCTTTTGCCAACTTTTTAATGACACAAGTCTTCCATAAATCACTTAATACCCTTCCAGTTAGAGCTGTCTTCTGAATACAGTGACTCTTGCAGCTACTTGTAGCTTATCAAAGCAGCCAGGCTAATTGAATGAAAGTCAACACTCTAAAATCATAAGTTGTGTGATCATCGCCTTATCAGATCCTACAGTAAACCAGGATGAACAAAGGACCAGAATTCGGCACTGATTATTAATTAAATGAAAAGAGAAAGTCTAAAATCAATCATAGGAATGATTAGCAATGGTTACTCATACAGGGTGGGGCAAAAGTAGGTTTACACTTATTCATATGGGAAATAATGCAATAATTAATAAGTAATACAAGAATAGGCTCTGTGTTTTGCACACTCACAACTGTAAACCTACTTTTGCCCCACCCAGTATGGCAGCTGGATGGCCGTCAAACCAAGAAGACTATGCAGATGTGTTGAAAGAGATGGAAGAAGAAAACATAATATTTATTGGACCCCATGGCATCTTACAAGGATTCAGACTCATAATTTCCTAAGTGACTCAGCAGCCTTGCACAATCGATGCTTTGAAAAACCCAGTTCCTTAAGACGACTCCAAAGTACTAACTGGTGCTTGCTAACCGACGTTATTAAAATCTTTCTCCAAAATGCACTTCTGCATGGTGTGTTTACCTGCTGGACTGACTAATTTCTATTTCATTAAAGTTATCTGAAGAGCCCTACCACACATGTTGATCTAGTCCATTTTTATCCATAAGTATAAGTAACTGTAGGAACCAGAGCCATTAACTCTTCAGTATTTCCTGTGTTATTTTGAGCCTCTTCATACGATTTTTTAGTCATGTGCTAAAAATAAATTTCAGCCAAGTAATGATTCTTCATTCAGGAAGAGGCTTGAAGTAGGGGGAACTTAAAAATCAAGGGACAAATTAGAGCAAAGCTGTTGTAATCTCAAAGGCAAAAAAAAGTCAATCCAGAAAAGTGGATTCCTTTTCAATTTACAGCATGCAAACAGCCTTGAGAAAATAAACATTGTGGCTTACGCCTTTCCATCACTGAAAATTGTTCATCAGTAAGAAAATAAAACCACAGGTATGTGTAAGAAGTGATAGGGGACCAGGTAAAAAATTTGTTTGGTCAAGTTCATTGGTTTTTGTTTACTGTTATGGAAGTAATTTTATCAGGAACTAGGAGAAAGGAAGTTAATGACTTTATGCTCACTATTGAAAGTTTAATGTTTCTCAACGTCCAAGAATTTAGCACCAGGTAAATCTTTGTGCTGCTAATGAACAACTTACAGTAAAACGTACAAATCATACCCTGTCCTGAGTTTAGCTCCCTGGGAAATAGGCACACTGGCTGCCACTGTGTCTGTTTGCTCGTTCATCGTAGCTACGTTAATAAAATTTAGGATGCTGTCAATAGAAGCAAGTGTTTAGCTTGTTAGCATTCCTTCAGGAAATATTCTATGTTTAGACAGACTTAAACAATCAGCATCCGGACCAAACATCTGAAAAAGTGTGAAGCAGGAATAGGTTAATTTTAGATAGAGCCGTGATGAATTATTTCCTCTCATTGCAGGTCAGCGGCTTTTTCTAGGGCCGTGTTTAGTGGGAAGGCACTGCAACTGGGCTTCGAAGAGACCTGGGAAAGACGTTCGGTAACGCTTCTGATTAGAGTCACAGCCTCACTTATTCTCCAGGCTTATCGACCCCAAACTCTTTTCTAAATAGGTTGCAACTCACTGAAGGAGTTAACAAAGGTATGCTTTGGGAAAGACTGGCGCCTTACATTTAAGTCGGTGTAGGGAATATGAGAAAGTTTGTGCATCTAGTAAGGAAGTGTTTGGAGATACTTCTGAAATTTGTATTAGAAAAACATTTTCAAAGACATTTGTAGTCATCTCCCTTTCTCATGCTCTTCACCTAAGTGAACATGGGTTTTCTACCACTCAACTTGAAGAAAATGAACAATAAAATTAGATCATTGCTCCCTCCTGGGGTTTTGGTTTTGTTTTGTTTAGTTTAGTTTGCATTCTCTTTAACTCTCCACCAAAGGCTCTTAAACGCCATAAATGTTAATTTATAACAAAACAGCTATTGTGTTTGTGTACATCAAATGATTGTGTAAAAGTTCTAGCCTCTCTTGTTCCTTTATTGGTAAAGTCTTTGAAACCCAAACGGTTTTTGTGACCTTCAAAAAGGTGTGATGGCAAATTGTTTGAACTCGTGTGAAAGAATTCTCTCGTTTATTCATAGAACACAGTGTTGTGATGTTAGAAACGCAAACGTTTTCCACACAGGATGTTAGTGCATACCCATGCGTGTGTCTGCTGTGATGTGGGCACTACAGTACTTCCAGGTTTATAAGGATATCAGCTGTAAACAGGATGCTCAGTAACAGCTATGGACACAGTGCCTCTCTCGCTTGGAGAGAGAAGGTTTGAAGGTATAAATGGCAAAATTCCGCTGGAGTAAAGATAAAAACATACTCAATTTCTTTTCAAAATATCTTTTATATGTTCTATATATAGAACATATATCCCAAACACAAAATCCTGTTTCAGGCAATAGATATCAGTGAAACTGTAGGACATTCTTTAAGCATTCCATATATAAGTTGTTGTGTTGTTTTATAAGAAGCACTTCAGTTTATGATGATAAATTAAAAAAATAAAACAAAAAGAGATTCGATCCTGTTATTCCTGAGTACTCTTCAGATTAAGGATAAGAGTTTATAATCCTGTACCATATATAGAAAAAGCTTTTTGATTGATTTAAATGCAAAGTTTTTCTGTAAATTAATTTTATAGGAATTAAGCCATATCATTATGGCAATGTATAAACACTTACTATTTAGTAGGCTCTATATTGCTGTACCCATTGTTCTATTGACCTTTCCATCACTTTTGGAAAGATAGAAGCTAAGCAACACATTAATAATTGACTTTGGTTGGGGCTGGCTGCCCGGGAAAGTCAAAGGAAGGTATTTTAGGCAGCACACATGTTGTCCATGATATCCTTATTAATAATAATAGTCAGTTGTGGTCTCCTTAATTCTTTTAAAAGGCGGAATCAGTGTGATGATGAAGGTAGCAAGAAAAACAACTTTCTAAAGAAATGCTTCCACCTATCCAGTTCCCCAAATCGTTATTACTATTCTTAGGTTTTCTCTTTTCCTTCTCTGCATTTTATCACAGCAAACTTCCCTCAGCCCTGCCACCTTATACACCCCCCTCCTTGACTCCTTCAGTGAAACTAAAATCAGAAAGAACCCACAACTCCACCCAGTCCAATCTTACCTGTCTCTATTCGAGTTTTTGATGAATTCCTCCACCTGTCCTCTTGACCCAGCTTCTTTCTGCTTTCAGTTCTTGCTCCATGCATTCGCTTCTCATTCAAATGCATCTCTAACTTATATTCAACATTCTCTGAGCTTAAAAGAAAAATTCCAGTAGCAGCCACTTCTATTTTATATGCTCCATTTACCCGACTCTTCATCTTTTAATAGCCAAAGTCCTCAAGTCACACTTATTGTTTCTGCTTCCTTACTGCCCATTGTCCATTCAGTGCCCTGGAATCTGGCTTCAGTTCTTACATCTGCTTTTCACTTTGGTTCAGCTCTTACTGAGGTCATCAGTCGTTAAAATCAGCGTGTGTGTTTTTCCAGTCTGGGTGTTACCAGGCTTTTCTCAAGCATTTGAAATTGCTCAGCACCCTTTCCTTAAAAGTATTAAGTCCTTTGGTTTTGGTGACAACTTATGTTTGGGTCTCCTCCTCCCCTTCCTTAGATTTCTTTTCAGTCTCTTTCAGTCTCCTCCTTTACCAGCACTTCTAAATACTGACTATCCTCAGGTATCTGTCCTGTAGACCCATTCCTCAGACCCTTCCTGAATCATCTTAACTACCAACTATACGTAGACATCTCTTACGAGCTGACCTGAACACAACTTAGGTTCTTTTTGGTGTAAAATGATAGCCGCAGGAGAAATTCCGAGGACAGTAGGAGCTAGCTACACACCACTGTCACCACCAATTAATAATGAAACCAAGTCTCAGAGTAAATTCAGCTGCACAGGTAAACCACTTATCTAAATATTTATTAGAAAGTAATCAAACACATGCACACACACATGTGCGCGCGCATGCACACACACCAGTTTGTACAATCTGCTCTGCAAGTCTGAGGAAATAACAAGATTCCAGCAGTAGTGGTTTTATCGCCTCTACCATCAGCATCTGACAATAAGATCCTCTCAAGTTCGTGACTGACACTCCCCTATGTTATCAGTAAGAGTGCTGGCTAGTGGCCGTGACGGTTTCTTATTTTGCATTCATGAATGTGTATGCATGAGTAGAGAACATTTCTGAAATATTTTATCCAATCCACATATTGTTAATACCTTTACTTTTCCTGAAAGCACATTTCATTAAAATAATTTAAAATATATTCATTTCACCAATAAAAACCCATTTCTAACTATTACTATGCTAATTAGCAAATCATAGGTGTTGATAGAGATCCAGATGACAGAAGTGCTTGTACTTGTAGGATATACTTCTGGAGTATGGGATTCTCCACCCCTCCAGCTTTTGGAGATATAATAGACATAACTGAATATATTTAATGTGTATAAGATGATGCTTTGATATACATAAACATTGTGAAATTATTATCACTATCAAGTTAATTAACACATCCATAATCTTACATGGTTACCATATTGTGTGTGTGTTGTATGTGAGAACACTGAAGATCTACTTTCTTAGCAAATATTATGTATACCAAAGAATTATTAACTATAGTCCATTCTGTACAATAGATTCCCAGAATTTACTCATTTTGCAACTGAAATTTTGTATACTTTGACCAACATCTCCCCATTTCCCCCAGCTCCCAGCCCCTGAAAACCACCATTCTACTCCCTGTTTCTATGAGTTTAATTTTTCTAGATCTTACATATAATATTTATCTTTCTCTATTTCACTAAAAATAATAGGGTTCTTGAGTTGAAGATCAGCTACTCCTCTTGGACTGTGCATGCTTGACTAGAGATGAGTGGAACCTGGCTTATAGTGTAACCTAAGTATCCTTTGTAATATATCACACTGTATATGTGGAAGTGCTTTAAAGTCAGCTATAGACATGATGGCAACTCCAGTTTCAGGTCTTTATCTTCATTTTAGAACTTTTATCCCAATTCCAGGCTCATATGCAAATGATTCCATCAAAAACTCAACCTACCAAAACTGAACTCATATTTACTTCTCCTAAAATCCCTAAATGTTCCTCCGTTCATGTTTTTCATTTCTTTGTATTAGTGTATGATCAGATACTCTCTTTCTCAGACTCTCACACACATGTAATCACTCAATAAATCCTGTCAGTGTTGGAGCCAAATTCTTCAAATCCCAGTTCTATCATTTACTAGCTATGTGACCTCATGTAAGTTTCTTAACCTCTCTGAACCTCAATTCCCTCATTTTTAAAACAAAAACAATAACATCTGCTCCCCAGGTTTAGTGTGAGGGTAAAATGAGACAAAGTAAGGAAAGTGCCTGGCATAAGTCTTAGAACATGGTAAAGGCTCACTAAGTGTTAGTTTCCTTCCTTTACTCTTTCTCCCACACCATCATCAACTTTTGGTGACTAAGTTTGTACCTTTAAATTAATTTCTAATTAATTCATTAAACAAATATTCATTTAGCTCCTCAATTGCCAACAAGTGAGAGAACACAATTGTGACAAGATAAATATTGCCTTTGTTCTAATGAGGGTACTTTAAAAAAAAAAAATCCTCACCAGAGGACATGCTTAGAGAGAGGAAGGGAGAGAGAAAGAAACATTGATATGAGAGAGAAACATTGATCGGTTGTCTCCCATAGGAGCCCTGACTGGGGACCTAACCCACAACCTAGGTATGTGCCCTGACTGGGAATTGAACTGGCAACCTTTAGGTGCAAAGGAAGGTGCTCAACCTATTGAGCCACCTGGCTGGACTAATAGGGGTACATTTTAAAATATATATTTTTTTATGGATTTCAGAGAGAGGAAGGGAGAGGGAAAGAGATACAGAAACATCAATGATGAGTGAGAGTCATTGATTGGCTGCCTCTTGCATGCACCCTGTTGGGGATTGAGCTTGAAACCCGGGGACATGCCCTGACTGGGAATCAAACAGTGATTCCTGGATCATAGGTTGACACTCAACCTCTGAGCCACACGGGTTGGGTCAATGGGGGTACATTTGAATGAAGAAAATTTTTGTGGAAAAAGTAAACAACCAAATAATTATTACCAGGTAAATTGTGATAAGAATTATGAATAAAATACACAGGAAGCTGAAACAGAATAACAGAAGTTGGGGTGAGGGTAATAGTCTACATCAGGACTACTCAAACTATGATCTGTGGAATGGTACAGTCTACAAATTGTTTATTCTTTGTCTGCAACAAGAAAAATACAGACACTGAGAGTGATTAGAAACTTCTATAGCAATTTGACATGGCTTCAATAGTCAAGTTTATGATTATTGATTGGTTAAACAAGGTAGAGACAATCACATTCATGTCACACATTGTGTGAGCTGCACAGAAGTCTTATATACAATGGAACCTTGTTGAACCTTGCAAATAGAGTTGTCATCACTCCAAACTAGATTAGATAAATTAACAAGCAAAAAGCAAACTCATTTGCCATGTTAAAAACGTTAAATATTGATATACACTGTTTAAAGTGTGCAAATAGGCTTTTATTGTTGCTATTAATGTTTGTTTAGTCATAATTAAAAATCAGCAAAAAGTTATGAGTAGAGTAGCAATTCTATACTTATTGCCTACAGACACACTTTAAATGAGCAACATTTATAGTTTTTATTTTATTTTGTTATTTTTCCATATTAGTTTTGTTCTTATTATATATACTAAAATACATTCCTATGTTTAATGGATTTTGTAATAAAATAGCTGGTCTTTATTTTGAGAGTGTTTATTTCCTATTTAATTTTCTACTAACTTATTTTTATTGTACTTTATATAATTATTAATCCAAGATGGATTTGGAAAAAAATTAATTTAGACCTCGCCACTTCAGAAGCATTTTTATACATGGGTGGTCCAGAACAGCTCTCTAGGGAAGGGACAATAAAAGCATGAGAACTGTAGCCTTCTACTTCTCAAAGATCTTCAAAATTAATGATTTTATGTACTGATCCTCAGTCACTACCTTGGTTCAGACTCTAATCACCTGTAACATGGACATCAGCAAAAATGTAAGGAGATGGGTAAATTCTTTTTTCTCCTCGCATCTTCCATGCTGCCTTAATTTGTTGAGTTTTTACACACACACACACACACACACACACACACACACACACAGAGAGAGAGAGAGAGAGAGAGAGAGAGAGATTGAGAGGGAGAGAGAGAGAGAGAGGAGGTGGCAGCAGACAGAAAAAGACAGAGACTACCTATTACCATCTCCCAATGTAGACTGTAAATTCTATGCAGGTATTGGTTACATCTCATGCTCTATATTTAGCATGCCTAGTATACTGTCTTGCCCATAGGAGAGGCTTAATCATTGTTGTTGATGGCAGTGCTGTGGTAAGTCTAACAATGCATTCCTTTCCCACTGATTCTCTTTGTCTGTCTCACTCTCGACACAACAAAGTCAGTACAATTTTATTAAAACCCATATTATTTTGTTGGGGAAGAAGCTTTGGGAGCTTCAGTTATTTACTCAGCAAACCACAGGATGTCTGTGCAGAGAGCAGACCACAGTGGTCTGGTGGCAAGCTTGCGTGGACATGTATACCCTGGGACCCTCCAGGTCTTCCAGTTACCCCATTTGACCTTTCACCAACTCATTGCTGACTTGATCAGCTATGAAACAGAGTCTTTGCTTTTCTAATTTATGAGCCCTTAAAGGAATTGTAATAGACACCCCTCCAAAATAAACCCTTCATATTTAATAATCACAGTGTCATAAAGGGAGACACACAATTTAACAATGCCAATAACGATGAGAAAACGTGTACACTAAATGTTTACAGTGTGAATCTTGCCTCTGAACTCAAGACCAAGTGAACCTTCTGTTTTCCAAAATCAGAGATTATAATTTTTGCAGTAATGTCACCATTTCCGAGAAGGCTATTTGAACACTCGTTCATTACTTTTTTCTGGAACATAACAACAGTATTTTTTCTTTCTCCTAGAATATGTCTTATGCTAGAAAGAAAACTTTCTTTCTAACAAGGTGAAATAACTACCCTCAAAAATAAAAGATCAAACAACTCACAAATCTAGGAAATAATATTAGATTTAGGAATAAAAAACCTAACTTTAATGATATGGTGTTTTAAAAGGCAATTTAAAACAATTTAGAAATAGCATATTTTTTGGTGGTATGAGATACTCAGAAAGAAACTTTTAGGAGTT